ATTCCAAAGTTTTTGTCTTCATCTCTGCTTTTATGGTGCTATTTCCTTTAGAACTAAACCTACATTATATTTTACTGTATAACTTCTTTCCCTTTCTTTAGTTTGCTGTGACTGGGGAGAAAAATGAACTTGATAAATCAAACAAGGTAACAGAAGCAAGGAGAAACACTTGAAGGAACTGCTGGGTGATGTTTATTTTTATTCCCAAGGACTTGGGATTACGTTTATCCTATTTTTAAAGGAAAAAAACTCCACTTTTCAGGCTCTTTCAGCCCAGTCAGGGGTACAAGAGAAAAATAAGGGCCTGGTAACAAGGGGGATAGACACAAGATTTGATGGACCTGGAATAAAGTGTGGAGCCACAAGTAGAAGAGAAGGAGCAGAGGAATGTTTGATTTTGGGAGACCTGAGCAAATGGAAAAAGCATCTGAACCTCTGGAGAAATGCAGGTCAAAGAAAAGCAAAGTGCTGCCTAAACTAATAAACACTTTGAAGATTCCAACTCAACATTTTCTTGGCTGCTCTTCTAAAAAAATTGTGGGAAATAAGAATTGCTTGGGCATCACCTTTAGGTGAATTATCTCACCAGTTGAATTGGGGCTTGTAGGGGGAAGGTAAATGAAAGGAGGGGTTGTATAGATGTTTTTATTGTTTTTTAAATGATGGTTCTCTCCCTGGTTCTTTGCTTTATCATGCCTGGTTTTGTTTTCATTTTTATTTTAAAAATATTTTAACTTTTTCTTTGTACTATAATAGGAATACTAATGGGTGAAAAATAAATATACAACAATTATCTTCCTCCTTTCAAAAATTTTTGGTGTATTGCATTTTTTTATGTTCCATGAGTTCATAATTTTCCCTGTTTCCCTGTATGAAAAATTATCAAAGGCAATAAAAATGCAAGGAAACAGCATCCCTGATTTTCTTTAAAATATCCCAATAAGATAAAAAGTGGAACAAATCCTTAAAATATCTACCCAGCCAGGCTCTTTTCCATTTTTTTCCCATAAGCACCAGCTGTTTTTTCCATACCAGCACAAAGGACATATTTACAGATTCAGTTTATGGAAGCTTTGTTTATGCACTGGGTAAGGATTAACAAGTAATTTTAATTAATATGGCAAAACCAAGTTCAAAGAAGACAGAAAATTTGTAAATCTTGTAAGACCACTAATTCTGGCTGGGCTTTTAGATGCAGAAAATGTGTGGCATGGAATTTTCCATATTAACATTTTTCCTAAGGTTTACACACTGTAATCCTTTCCCCATCACCATTTCGCACGGAACCTCCTGATTGAGTGAATTTTTAATTACACCCTTGTACTCCCAATATTTAATGTGTCTTTATAATATTTGTGTAAAATGAGCATTGCTGTTGTCATCTTGTGTGTTCATTGAGTAGAAACACTGCTTTTTAAAAAGGAAGAGCAGGCAGCTAAACCAAGAACTTCCTTTTCAGAGCAACTTTTACCTCTGCAAATTCAATGGCATCGATAGGAAAAAGACACACATATTTTGGTGGAAACAACTCGGATTTTGCAAGAATAAATCACGTCAAACTTTCCTTGGTGGCAGAATAAGGAGCCTTGCAGAGACATGAAGCAGAAAATGTTACATGTCTTGGATTTAGCAGGGTTTTTGGAATGGTCAGACACATTCTTGGAGTGAAACTGAGAGGACCAAGCCTCAGAAATGCCTGAGGAGCTCCTCAGGAAATTGCTGATACATTTTTCCAACAAAATGAAAGGACAGCGGGGTTTTCCTCTGGCTACTCTTGAACCTGAAGTTTAATAAATCTCTTATAAGGGTTGAATTTATCAAAGATTCAGGATGAAAGTTCCCAAAGGGAGGATGGTCAAGCACCAGATTAACTCCAGGCTTTTCCACATTGGATTCTCCATACATTTTCCCAAGCACAAGTTGGACTCTTTGGGGACACGGGGACAGATTCAATCCAGGTCCCTTTTTGGCTGATGCAATGCAGCCACACGATTTCATGCCTTGGATCAGCGTCACAGCCAAATTACTTGATGTGATGAGGACTTGCAAATACAAAAATCCCAGGTGAAAATAGGCTCTTTTCCACCCTGTTTTCACTCCTTCTTGAAAGGCCTCTGACTTTATAGGTAACCCCAAGGTCTGGCTTAGAGCTACATCCTTTAAGACATCACCTAAATAACGGCATCCTGAAGCGAGTAAAGCTGTCCTGGGAAAGGACTCTGTGGAGTGAGGTGGATTTGCCCCTGTAGCTTCCTCAGGGCTTTCTAGACTCCATAAAAAGCCAGAGAAATGGAAATTGCAGCCGTTGCTCTAAAGTGTGTGACCAGACTTTGGTCATATACCAGCTCCCAAGTCCTCGTCTGGGAATTCTGAGCAATCCCTACAGAGACTTCTCCTACCTGCACGATCTGCTCAAAACCTGAGGACCTACGAACTGCTGGAAAAGGGAAAGGTCTTGGAACTTTTGTGTGATCCTACAGCTGGGTTTCTGGCTGTGGAATCTCCTGTCACCCGAGGGAGCGATGCAGATGTTCCCAGCTGTGGCAGGAAATACCCACAGCCAGCCCTGGCCCGTAGAAGCACACTGGGGTAAGTCACTAATGGTGAGCTGGGCTAATCACTTTAATGAGCTCGTACAGAGGAGCTCCAGCACAGAGCCCCACTTTGATGTTAATTCCCTCGTGGAAGGACTCCTTTCATGTCCCAGGCTACTGTTTAAAGTACCAGACCAATCTGCTGGCCCCCGTTAATTTACATCTGTCATTAATGAAGGAGGAAGCATTTGGATCTGGTGGCAGGAGAAGAATATTTGGTTTATTTCATCCTGCCATCGTTTGTTTTTTTCTCAAGGTTTGGCTCCTTGAGAGGTATTACCAGGGAGGGAAATACATAACATGAGATCCTTTCTGGAGCTTGTCACTCCTCTGCTGCAAACAGCAGCAGCTTTGTTAACCTGCATGTTCAGCCTCCTCTTCTCCATTGTAAAGAACATTACACTGATCAATAAATCTTTTTTTGGGGCCACAAGTCTGCAAACTGGTTTATTTGAAAACTTAAATACACATCTCATGTCTCCTTCAAGAACAATTCTATGAGGTTTTTTATGAAAATTATAGAAAAGGCACCTGTGAGCCCATTGTTAGTCAAATTAGAGCCCTTGAAATATTACTTTCTATTATTCACCTTTTTAAAGAAGTTTAATAAGCTGCATTTTATCAAACACCACCTGTTTTTTTCAAGGGATTTTAGAGAGACTGCCTCACCTTTTTTGTTTCCCAAGCTGCAGATAACGTGAGAAGAAAATGTACCAAGTTTCTCAGGAATCATTCCACAGCTAATTCCAAACCAATTATTTTCTATGAAAGTAGTGGTGTAGAGGTTTTGTTGCTGTATTTAATTTTTACAGGGCGAGTGTTGATGGCACACAGAGGAAAGGAACATATCCAGGAGACAAAGCAACACAACAGAAGATTTAGTGTTTAAATATATGGGCTATCCCCAAAATCCTGTTACTAAACTCAGGATGTTTACTACACCATGGAATTATAGAATGGCTTCAGATGGAAAGGACCTTAAAGATCATCTGTTCCAAACTCCCCAAAGGGATGCCACCACTAATTCAGAAGTCAGTGTTTAAATTTTTATGTAAACAACTTCTTTCAATTTTAAAACAAACATAAACACTGTCTGCTTTTCTCCTCCCTGCCTACAGAGAGCCAGCAGTGATTCTCTTATTTCAGTCCTGCAGAAATATTTACTGGTATTTCTGATTAAAACATCACACAAAATTGCCTGTTTAATGTTTTAACATCATGACTTTCAGAGGAAACTATTTGGAGTAGGGATATGGTCAGTCTAGAGGCTTTGTAATGAACACAGGTCTCAAATGTGATTCTGACTTCTCAGTGCTCCTACAGCTGAGCCATTAAACAGTGATTTTACCTGATTTCTGCCACACAATCCATCAGAATGGGTCAGCAGTGTCCTTCCTGCTCCTTTGTTGAGGAGGTTTCCTTTTGGAAGGGGAATGGAGCCCGAAGGAGGGCTGGTCCTGATGCACCTGGCTGTACCTGGATCCCCGTGAGGACACACAGAGTGAGCGTGAGTGTGGTTTGTGTTGTCACCACGCTGGCCTCAGCCCCAGGGAGGTGTCTGGCCCCACGGGGTACCTGCCCTGCGATGCCCACCTGGAAACACTGGCATTTCCTCCCTTCCCAGACCAAATGTATCCATTCTGGGAAATAAAATTTATTTATTGTGTGCCATAATATTGATGCAAATGAAGCCCTGGTTCTTCATAGAGCTTTTTGGATTTCACTGGGCACAACCGCCTTGTGAGCCCAGGCTGGGGCTCAGGGACACAGGGATGGCCATCCACAGAATCACTGCATGGCTGGAACTGGAAGGGGCTTCTGGAGATCACCCAGTCCAAGGCTGGGTCACCTGGAGCAGGTGACACAGGAGGATGTCCAGGTGGGTTTGGGATGCCTCCAGAGAGAGAGAGAGAGAGTCCACACCCTCCCAGGGCTCTGCCACCCTCACAGAAAGAAGTTCTTCCTCGTGTTGAGGTGGAACTTCTTGTGTTGTGGTTTATGGGCGGTGCTCCTTGTCCTGTCGCTGGACAGAGCCCGGCACCACCCTCTTGGAGTCCTTTACACGGACTGCGGACTCCTTCCCCCTCTCCCTGTCTCTCTGCCCCCGAAATCTCAGGGATCGCTTTCCAGGATCACTCCTAGGGGTGATGCCGGCCGTGCCCCGCGGCCAGGGCTCGGTGCGTGGTTCGGGGCCGGTGCAGAGTTGGGGGCCGGTGCGGGGCCTGCCCTGTGGCCGCCCCGTCCCCGCCCGGTGCCGGCGCTCCCGTGCGCGCCCCCCCGGCGGGCGGCGGGGGCGGGCGCCGTCCGGGCCGCGCTGATCGCAGCGCGCCATTGGCCGCTGTCTGCGCGCACGTCACGATCATGATGAGAATTAATGATCGGGGCCGCTGATTTCATTGTGTGACGCCGGGACCGACCCAGCCGAGCTCGGCCGAGCCCGGAGCCCCCGCGCCGGCCCCGCGCTACACGGTAAGCGCGGGGGAGCCCCCCTCCTCCCGCTGGGGGGTGTGGGGGAGCGCGGCGGGGCCCCCGGGCGGGAGGGGAGGAGGAAGAAGATCGTGATGATGATGGTGATGATGGTGATGATGATGATGATGCCGGCGATGCCCCCCCCCAACCCCCCCGGGCCCGGTGGTGGGGGTGGGGGGAGGCCCCGCGCGCGGACCCGCCCGGCGCGCGCAGGCGCTGCTGCGCCTCCCGCCCCCCCCCCCCGCGCCCCCGG